CAGATTTTAAATGTTAGCAACTCTAGGAAAACATTATTTCTCCCCATCAGGCCTTTGTCATTGTTCTTTCCTCCCATCTTAAATATTTATTCTTTGACTCAGCTTGGATGTCTTCCTCCAGGAAGTCTTATTTGCCCAACCCAGACCGAGCTGTTCCCTCATCTCTTGCTTACCACAAATCAACACTTCTCGCACTCAGTTGCCATTGTGATAGTTGGAGCTGTGTGGCAACTTGGCTGGACCACAATTCTGTGTGGTTTAAGCAGTTGTGATGTGGTTATTCCCATGATGAGATCAGATGAATATATTTTGAGCAGCCAATCCATTGAAAGGGAGTTTCCCTAGGGGTGTGGCCTGCTTCCAGTATATTTATGGACATCCTGGGAAAAGAGACACTCTTCTGTGGATCGGGATTCTGTTGTGCTGCCTGCAACTGTCCATGAGCAAACAATCCACCATTCGGCCTGGAGATCTTGGATTCATCACTCGTTGGAATCAACAGCTGGTATTCTGCCTGCCAAACTTGACCTTCTCAGCCCCTGCAGCTGTGTGAGTAGGGAAAGGCCTTCAGCTTGATGTTTGAACCAAGAACTTTGGACTTGCCAGCTTCTATAAGTGTGTGAGTCATTTTCCTAAGATAAATTTCTCTTTCTCTCTCTCTCTGTAAGCTTTACTGGTTGTGTTTCTCTAGAGAACCCAGTCTAACACAGCCATCATGTGTTTGCTTGTCTGTGTCCCATCATGAATGGGGAGACTGTTAAGAGCAAGGGACCCTGGAAAGTCAGGCTCTCACTGCCGCCATTGAGTTGGATCTGGCTCATAGTGACCCCTCCTTGGGTTTCCGAGGTGGTATCACTACAGAACTAGATTGCCCAATCTTCCTTCCGAGGGGTGGCTGATGGGTTTGAACTGTCAGCCTTCTGGTTAGCAGTCAAGTGTCTTAGGCACTGTGCTACCAGAGTTATTTTGTTGTTGTTGTTGTTGTTATGTGCCGTCGAGTCGGCCCCGACTCATAGCGACCCCTCCTTGGGTTTCCGAGGCAGTATCACTACGGAAGTAGGATTGCCCAACCTTCCTTCCGAGGAGTGGCTGGTGGGTTTGAACCGCCAGCCTTCTGGTTAGCAGTCAAGTGCTTTAGCCACTATGCTACCAGAGTAATTTTAGGGGAACACAATTCATTCCATAATAGGAGCTCACTGTTCAGGGGCAACAGTGAGTGGACAGGGATGGAGAAAGAGGAAGATGGGGGTTTACAAGATGCCTTTGCACCTATCATCTTCATTAATGCTCCCAAGAGTCCTCTAAGATATTGAGCAATTTACAGATGAGAAACTAACACATCCTATCTCAGATAAGGGAACCACACAGAAAGACTAGGGTCATTCCTGAGTTGCAAGAAGTGTGTGTAGCTGGACCTCCACCAGGGTTTGGCTTTCTACATCATAAAGCTATCTTCTGGAAGCTTTTATATTCCCCACTGTTCCCATGAGAGGCAAGTGAGACCCTGGCAAATCTTTCTCTGTTTAGAGAACCTCTCCAAAGGCAGCCACTCTAATAGGATGCTCCACTTATGGAGCACTTCTTCAGTGCTAAACACTCACAGACCCTTTCTCATTGAATCTCCATGACCAATTCAAGAGGCAGAGCCATCATGACCATTTGCAGTTGAGGAAACAGTGTGGAGAAGTTAAGCTCCCTTACCCTTCCTGCTTCCGAATTTGATTGGTGTGGGGATGTTATTTCCTTCTCAGAAATGGAACCACTTGAAGAACGAGAAGCCCGTCACTTAGCCATCTAACGTTTTCCCCTCTACTCCTGGGGGTAATTGCACCAGTCTACCATGATGGAAAGGACCTGGGCATTGACTTTAGTCCTATATAAATAACTAAACCTGAATGACCCTCGCTCTTCTCATCTGTAATATGGGCACAATAATCCTTCCCCCCCCCCCCCCCCCGCCCCCACCAGAGTTGTTCAAAGGATTAAATGAAATGGAGTGATATGTGTACTTCTCCTGACACTTGGTAAGTAGACAATTGGTAAATGGCATTTTTAAGCTGTAGTGTTCCAGGATAAGAAGGGAAAAATGGAACCTTGGAGACCCACTTGTTTCTTCTTGCTTCAGCCTTCAATCATAAACAAAATAACCAGTCACTGGGGTTTTATTGCATATCCTTGCCAGTCATTGGAGCTTTATCCTCAAGCAGTCTACTTGCTGCTCCTCAAATAATCCCTCCTTTCCTCTCTCACACAAGCCTTTCATCTACATCTCCTAGGCTTTCTTGCAGGTGGAGTGGAGTCATATGATAACCCTTGGCCAATGGACTGTGAGCAGAAATGTTATCACTTCTGTGCTGAGGCAGTTAAGAACTAATATGCCTCCTTCATCTCTTTCTTCCTGCCACGGGTTGAGGTCACTTGTTGAGATGGCAGAGCCATAAGACAGAGGGATCCTGCCATCTCTAGATGGAGGTGAGACATAGTCCCCTACATTAGACTTAGTATGAGCAAGAAATAAACTTGTGTTGTGTTAAGCCACTGAGATTTCAGGGTTTGTTACCTCAGCAAAACTTAACCAATTTAGGCTAATACAGATGCCTTCTGTTCTCCACCGAAATCCTTCCCATATTCCCCTTCTTATATGTATCTGCCTTTGTCAGTGCTGTTTACATCAGGTCCTGGCACAAAGTAGGTGCTCAATAAAGAGAATGGATATTGAAAGCCTCACTTCCCACCTATTTTCATTCACCAGCCTGACTTTCGGGAGCTCTGGTGGTGCAGTGCCAGCCACTCTTCAGAAGGAAGGCTGGGCAATCTACTTCCTTATTGATACTGCCTTGGAAACCCAAGGAGGGGTCGCTATGAGTCAGGTCCGACTCCACGACACAAAATGACAACAACAACAAAAAAATGTGTTGAAATCCTAACCCTTATACCTATAAATGTGACCCTGTTTGAAAGTATGTTTGTTATGTTACTTAGTCAGGCCAAGTAGGGTAGGTCCTAAGCTTAAGCCACTTCTGAGTTATAAAAAGAGCAGAATGGACACAGGGAAAAGATAGATAACATGTGAGGACCTGTCCACAAGTAAAGGAACGCCCACTAGCAGACACCAGAAACTAGGAGAGAGACTCACAGAAGGAATTGACACAGCCAAGGCCCTGAGTTTTGACTTTCAGCCTCTGGAACTGTGAGAAAATACATTTCTGTTCTTTAAAGTCACCTACCTACGGTATTTCTATTACAGCAGTCCCAGAAAACTAAGATAGCTCCCCAAGGAGAGGAGCTGGGTCATAGTTACCCTTCTAGTCTCCTATGCCCCTGCTCTAAAACATGACCCAAAGCTGTAGAAAAGCTGTAAAGTTCATCCACCAAATAGAAGGTGGTCTAACTAATTCAGAGTTGTGCATCTAAGGAAATTTTTTAGTTAGTTAAGTCAGAGGTTGCAAACTCACAATGAGTGGACCAAATTCACTTTCAGACAAGTTACTAAACTTTTCTGTTCCTTGGTTTCTTCATGAGTAAAATGGGCATAATAACTGAAAACCTAGTAAGATTGTTGTGAGGTTTAAATGAATTAATACATATAAAGTGCTTAGGTCAGTGTCTGATACATAATAAATGTTGTGCATGTGTTTTTATTATTATTGTTTGATCCACACAATGCTTCTTAAACTTTATTGTCTCCAAGTGGTCTATCAGTTTGCCCCAGTCACCACCACTCTCTCTTGTCCTACACCTAGCACACCTCCCTGCTTGGCCCCAGAAGACCCGTGATTTAAGTCCTCAATTAAAGCCTGGTCCTTTGTCCTCTCTGTGCCTGTCAGATGATACAGGCAAATTGTAAATTCCTGTCAGAGAACCATGCGAATTATAACACAGGTCAACTGTCAATTCCTCCACAGGACCACGGGAATTACAAAACTGAGCCTCACCAGCTCTTCCCACCCCCACATCAGCAACTAAAGGCAGGGCCTTGAGCTAATGTCCCAAACCATGGCTCTGCCTCAGGCCAGCTGTGTACCTTTGGGAAAGTTCTTCCTCTTATCTAGACTTAATTTCCCCAGGAGTCAAGTGGGCTTGAGAATGCCTGTCCACTTTCCTACCTAGTGCTGAGATAAAGGCAGTGGAGAGGATTTTCATTCCGACGAGTTGGGGAGCTCTAGTCTCATCCCCTTTAAAACACTCCCTCTCAATGGTGCAAAGAAAAAACCCAAGCACGCCAGCTGTACAACCACAGAACTCCAGATGATCTAGATGCATGTTTTATTATCATTGGTGTGATTATCATTGTTAACAAGGGACAAGAGCCTAGAGGGCTATGTACAAGCCACAACTTCCAGGGTGATGTTAAAACATTCCTATTTACACACATTTATTCCCACAGCCACCACACAGCACAGTACCACACGCATCTCTGCCAAAAATGCTTCCTCTAAGCAGAACACAGATGTGAGTCAGGGCTCTGCCCACCCACAAAAGGATGCCCAAGAAGGGGAGGAGGTCCTGGTCCTGGGGCAAAATTTACACATGACGAATGCTCCCTATGGGGCAGGGCATAGAAACTGAATTGGGATATCACAGATTCCATCCCACCCCATTCCTCACTGGCTACTTACCCCAGAGGTACCCTACCCTACTTTGGGAATCTCTTAAAAGACATAGAGAGGCTAGGGCTGAGAATCAGGCTTGCAAGATGTAGGGGGAGGGGAGACGAACACACTGCCAGTGGTGAGGAGTGGGATAATAAGAGATTTTAACTCATAGGCTGGCTTTCTTATGTCCTTGAAGGAGGAGGGCAAGGCCAGGGCCCAAGGGGGGGACTGTATTCAGGGGACTCAGGTTTATGATCAGGGGTCTAAGGAGTAGAGAATGGGACATCATGAAAGAGTAGGGCACACAGAGCTTAGGATATTCTCAGACCCCGAATTCTGTTTTATCAGGAACTAGGCTTATTCTTGAAGCTCCCTGGCCCAAGTTGCCTGCCACCCAGGATGCTGTCACTTTTCCTCGGCTCCCTGGCCCCTGCTTAGGTCACCCAGTAGCCCAAGCAGGAAAGCTGCTCGGTCACAGGCTCCCCAGGGCCCACATGGGCCTCCCAAGGCCCTCTTGCCGGGATGCTGGCGTTTCTCAGGCATCAGCTCTTCCTCCTCCTCTTCCTCTTCCCAGCTCTTCTGGCCCTTGGGATCCACCAGTCGTCTGCCTGGGTGTTGCTTCTTGGTGATAACGTACCCAAGCCAGGAGGAGCGCCGGCCAGGGTGTTGCCGCTTGTGTTTGGTTACATCGACTGACCATGAAGCCTCATCCTCCCGTCGGCCAGGATGCTGACGTTTTTGGGGTTCCACGGTCTCCCCTTCCTCCTCCTCCTCTTCAACTCCCTCTTCTGCCTCTTCCTCCCTTTTACCTGGATGCTGACGCTTGGAGAGCCAGTCAAGTTCAGTCTGGGGTTCTAGGGAAGGGAAGAGGCCAATGAAAGACCCTATGGCCTCTGTGACAGGTAGTCCCATCTGAGTGCCCACCCCAGCCTTCCTTTCAGACCAGACACTTTCTGCCACAGCTGGCATAAAGAGCTCTGGTGGCATAGTGCCTAAGGCATTTGACTGCTAACCGGAAGGCTGGCAGTTCAAACCCACCAGCCACTCTTCGGAAAGAAAGTTGGTCAATGTACTTCTGTAGCAATATCACCACTCGCTATGAATCGGATCCGACTCGATGGCAGCACATTGTGTTGTGTTGTACAAGGATCATGGCCCTGAAACTGCCTCTCCTGTCTCACAGGCGCACACACTGACACAGAGTCCAACCCCAGCTCCTCCACTACCTAGCTGTGTGACCTTAAGCAACTCACTTAACCTCCTTGAACCTCAGTTTTCACCTGCATAAAATGGGCATAATAATAGCACCTGTCTCATCAGAGATTGTTAACACTCTATCGACATCCAGTCGAGTCTGACTCATAAGTACCCCTCCTTGGGTTTCTGAGGTGGTGTCACTACAGAAGTAGATTGCCCAATCTTCCTTCTGAGGAGTGGCTGGTGGGTTTGAACTGCCAGCCTTCTGGTTAGCAGTCAAATGCCTTAGGCACTATGCCACCAGAGCTCCCAGATCTTGTTAGGAAGATCAAATAGTGTGATGAAGTGTTTGAAGGGCTTAGAACAGTGTTTGGCATGTAAGAATCCACTGAGTAGCAATTAAAACTGTCACACACAAGGAAACTCTCTCTCTCTTGAAGGCACAACTTCCCCACGGAATTTCTGCTCTCTGGGAAACATTCCCAATAATGAGATGGGGGAGAAATCTACTCTCCTCCAGGGAAGGGTAAATTCAGGACCTAGGCAACTGTGTAACCAAAGAGGGTTCTGAGCTTCTACAGGGCAGAAAGCTGAAAGACCAAGTCGCTCTCGTCTTCTGCCCTTACTCTGCGTCCAGTTTTCCGACAGCTTAAATTAGCTTGGGGCAGCCTCTCCCATCTCACCTGCATTGCGCTCGCCCTGGTTCGCGCGCAGCCGCTGGAGGTCTTCCCGGAGGAGGAGGAGGCGCTCTGCCTGGCGCAGGAGGTCGTTCAGGCCCAGGCGCTCAGTCACCGCGGCCGCCTCCTGCTGGACTACCTCAGGCTGGGAGCGGCCTCCGGGGACATTGGTCACGGTCAAAGCCAAGGCGAGCAGCAACCAAGGACCCTGCATTGCAGCGTCTGGGGTTAGGGACAGAGGAAGAGTGTGAATGTGCCGCGCCCCCGCCCAAACCGATAGGTGTCTGCCTTTCCTCTCCCAACGCGTACCCTAGGCCCGCTGCTGGGGGAACTATTGAAGCACCATTAAACCACCCTCCCGGGAGCAGGAGCACCTAACACCTTAGCGTGGGGAAGGGCAGGGATCTGCCTCAAGACTCGGGGTCCACACCTGTCTTCCAGGCGTCCTCGTCCACAGGGACGCCTGGAGTTACTTGCCCCGAGACTAGGAAGCCATGGGGACCCCAGCCTCTGGAGAAGCCAGCGCTGGGGTCGTCAAAAATGTCACCACCAGCTCTGGGGCACCATAGCCGGGAAGCTCACGGCTGTGCCACAGGCTAAGATTCCCTCCAAGTTCCCATTGCAATATTCTGACTCCAACACTGGATCACCAACGTTCTATTTCCAAAGCTAAGAATCTATTTCTAGCGCTAAGATTTAGCTTCTAAAGCTAACATTTCTCCTGTAGCGTTAAGATTCGAATGCTAAAAATCTACCATTACCTCTAGGAATCGAATTCTAACGCTAAAATCTTCATTTCAGAAGATTCAGGTTCTCTTTCTAGCCATAAGATTTCATATCGCTACGATTCGGATCCCAACGCGAAAATTTTCTTTCCAGCGTCGAGATTGGGATTCTAACTTCCTGGCTCAAGCTCCACCTTCCAGGCTGCCCAGCTCTGCACGGAACATCGGGTCTCCAGCAGGGATCCAGGCAGGGATTCTGGGCGACCCTCTCACGCCGATGCTGGGAGGTGAGCGCCCAGTGAGTGCGCAGGAGTCGACGCCCCGTCCGGGCCCCGGGCTGCCCTCCAGGAGGTTCCCAGGCGGGTACGAGCGCAAGCGCCCGCCCGTGTGGAAGGATTCCGCGCTCCGGGAAGCTCTCCGGGGACTAAGCGAGGGCTTGCTCCCGAGCCCACCTGGCACCGGGGCCAAGCTCCCCACTGAAACCGAGGGGCGAGCGGAAAGGTCTTCCTTTCCAGCGCTCCGGAACGGCACCTGCCGGGAGAGAGAGGCAAAAGTGGTTACCTGCTCCCGCGGACTCCGCGGGACGGCTCCCGGAAAGGGAGGTTCGGGGTTTGGAGTTCCGAGGTCCTCGAGTCGGGAGTTCGGGAGCGCTCTCAGGACCCGGGGCGCCGGCTGCCAGCTCCTCGCCGGAGACGCTTCTTATAACGACACGCAAAGGGGGTGCTGACGGCAGACAGCCCCGCAGGGACCGCCGGCTAGTCGGCTCCGCCGGAAATCTGGGGCGGGGGCGACGGGGGCGGGAGGGGGAGGAGGAGGCAGGAGCTGCAGGGTGGGGTGCAGTGTGGGGTCGTTTCTGCACCCAGTTCCGGAGGACGTCTGTTAAAGGGAATGCTCATGTAGGGAGCAAAGAGGGAGACAGAGAGTCAAAGAATACTGAGAGAATCATGCAATGAAAAAGAGACACATAGTGAGACACACACACACACACACTCTCTCTCTCTCTCTCTTCCTGAGATGGAGACAAAGACTGAGACATACAGAGATAGAGATACAGAACAGACACACACCCAGAGACAGAAAGACCAAGACAGAGATAGAGAAGATGAAGACAAGCAGGACCTGGGCTCTCTGACTAAGCCTTCTCTTGCAAATGCCTTCCTGTCTCTGAACCTCTATTTTCTAACCAGTAGAATGGGGGAGAGGGACAATTTTCAGAATTCTAAAGCTGAGGCATGTAGGGCTACATCTACTGTATGCGTGGTTTTGAGAAAAATCTGAATAGCCAACATTTAAAAACCAAGAGAATTTGGGGAAAAGTTGGGTTATGGAGTGTTCTTGAAAATCTTCTAACCATAGCCAGCTGGAGCTGAGCTTGCTGCCCTTGGTCATCACATTCTCCACCGCTCCCAACTACTCCCAAATATGTTGCCCCTGTCACTGATGAGGGGCGTTGGAGTTTGCAACCCTTGCACTAGAGGTCCACTAGGGTTCACCCCTCCCAGGCAAAGGATGGGTGGGGATGCAAGATGGAGAAAGACATAGATGATATGGGACTGGTCCCAAAGCCCCAGCATTCACACAGCAACTTGAAAGGGAGCACTGTCACATCTACCTGTCCACACAGCCTCCATCCTGAAACATTTAATGAGCACTCACTGTGTGCCAGGCCCCTTGCTCCATCCTGGACACACAGAAGTGAATCAGGCCCAGCCCCAGCTCTTGAAGAGTTAAACAGTCAGTGAGAAATAGATTTGGAAATTCAGAGTTACTGTATCAGGTGGTGCAGGTGAGGAAGAAAGAAGGCCAAGGCTTAAGGTGCTGAGGTGGGGAATTTAGAGCAGGTGCCACTGAGTCAGCCAGGAGGTTTACAAAGGGCTGTGTGAGTCAAAACTTGGATGAGGAGTTTGCCAGGCCAACTCAGAAAGAACCGCATTTTAGCCAGAGGGAACAACACTGATGAAGGCATCTCCTACCTCTGGATAGTGCCAATGTTATTCTCCTTCCTCATACAGTATTTCTTCCTTCTAAAACTTCAAGTGGGGAGCTCTGGTGGTGTAGTGCCTAAGGCATTTGACTGCTAACCGGAAAGCTGGTGGTTCAAACCCACCAGCCACTCCTCGGAGGGAAGGTTGGGCAATCTACTTCCATAGTGATACTGCCTTGTAAACCCAAGGAGGGCTCGCTATAAGTCAGATCCGACTCAATGGCAGTGGGGTTTTTTTTTTTTTTTTTTTTTTTAAGCTTTAAGTGAGCTCTTATTATATGCCCCAGGCTATGCTAGTACTCTGGGAAGGGATTCCAAAGGTGTTTAACTATTACTCCTTCCTTTGGTGGAGCACTCCACTTTGCCTGGCACATCATCCACACTCACCATCTCATTGCACCCTCATACCACTTGGCAAGACAAATGAGGAAGGAACTGTTTAGTTCCACTTTGCAGATAGAGACAGAGTCCTGGGGAGGCAATGACTGTATTGTTTTTGAAATAATATTTTATTGTGTTTTTGGTGAAAGTGTCCACAGCAAGTTAGGTTCCCATTTGACAATTTCCACACAAATTTATCCATGACATTAGTTACATATTTTACAGTGTGTCAACATTCTCTTTATTTGTATTCTGGTTGTTCTATTTCCAGTATCTAGTTGCTCTGCCCCTTATCTTCTCATCTTTGTTTAAGTAAAAGTTGACCTTCTGCTCTCACACAGCAGTCAAAAAATCAAACAATGTATTGCACTGAGCAAATCTGCTGCAAAAGACCTCTTTCAAGTGCTGAAGAACAAAGATATCTCTTTGAAGGCTAAAGTGTGCCTAACCCAAGCCATGGTGTTTTCAATGGCCTCATATGCGTGTGAAAGCTGGACAATGAATAAGGAAGATCAAAGAAGAGTTGATGCTTTTGAGTTGTGGTATTGGCAAAGAACACTGAAAGTACCATGGAGTGCCAGAAGAATGAACAAATCTGTCCTAGAAGTGCAGCCAAAATGCTCCTTGGGAAAAACAAAGTAGGAGGTCTCACATTGCCGGATCTCAAAACCTACTATACAGCCACAGTAGTCAAAACTGCCTGGTATTGGTTCAATGACAGA